ATGACCTTGGTTTTGCAACTTAAATGACAGACATAATACAGGAGCAAACTGAGCATGGACTCAGCTGTCAGTTCTGCCTTTTCTTATTGTATCTTATTTCAGGCATGTTGCCTGCTTTTTATTATTATTATTATTACATGTGTCATGTTAATGTCCGTGCATTTATCTCTTCATTTGTCATCATATTAATTAAGTAAAAAGCTTTTAAAAAAATAAAGAGGGCATTAGCTCAGAGGTGGGGCATAGTAAGAGATTTCTTGGTGACATCAGAATTAGATAGCCAGTCAGCTTCCATGTGCTGCAAATGTGCAGAATCTGTCTGTATTACCCCACCCATGGTGTGTCTCTGAAAGGGAAAGGCATCTTTGCTTTTGGACACGGTGATGATGCATCTTCTGGTGTGGACCAGTGCTGTGAAATGTTATATCACTTGTATGCATAGAAGCACACACACTGTCCTGTTGTTGCTACTGACCTAACAGTGTTTATGTTCCAAGAAACAATGTTAAATGTATAATTATTATAAAATTGTTACTATTGTTGTTGGTTCCCTTAAGTAGTTTTATACCATGCTTCGGTCATATTCTCAGGGCAGTTTAGAAAAGGAATAAAACAGACCAAATTCCTATTAATTTTTTTCCTATGGGCAATCAATCATAGGAGTGGTGTTGGCGAACTGAAAGTAATTAACAAAGTGCTGGTTGTGCAATTCTCATGTAACTGCTGTGCAACCAATCACATGCGACCAGGACCCTATTGATGAGCATCAATTAGCTGCTGCAACTCCCATGATTTCTCTTGCAGTGAAAAATTCCCAATAGGATTTTGGCCTAAAAAGTGAAAATACCAAAAATAAAATAAAGCATTGCTCTCCCTCCAAAACTGTAAAAGCTGCATAAAGCAATAAGCAGGATTAAATCTATACCTATAAAGCTTTACAAGAATTCTTTTACAAAAGCCTTTCTGCCCTTAAAGCAGCACCCCCCCCTTTGAAGGCCAAACTAAATCTTATTGCATGTTTGGATCTACTTGTGCTTCATATTCTTCACATTCCCCCCCCCCTTTCCAAGCAGCAGACAGGGAAGATTTGGATTACCCCTGTCTGCAGTGATTTTCAGCTACTAGCAGTAAGTATCAACTTAAAAAAGCAGGTTTTTGGATGAAAGAACCCAAAATAAGAGAAGGGATGATTTAGCCCATTTCCCCTCACACTGTCCTACCTCATCTTACTTGTCCTATAATTACTTTCAGGGTGGGTTTGTGTTTTTTTTTAACTGCAAGCAACAGATTCAAATATGACATCCTTAAAGTCTAGTTTATTCCCTTGGAGGTGCTGCTCAATGGAGAGCACCTAGCATTAATAGCTGAAAGACACTGAGCAGCCATTATATCACCTCCACTTTAATTACTTAATCCCCCCCACACACATACAAATAAAAAAATATGGAGAAGCTGGTAAGGAGGCATGGCAGGGTACCAAGCTGAAGGCATTGTTCTCTGAACCCTCATAAAATTCTGTGATCGTACAACAAAAGGCCTATCTGGATGTAACCTTTGGTACTGTATCTCCAGTCTGTAGGACAGAAACTGGCCGTGTGTTCCTTCAAATGTAACTGGACAGCAGCTTCACTGATCTGACACCACTGGCTGTGCTGCCTAAGCCTGTGGACAGCTGTAGTCTTAACAACATCTGGAGGGCTGCCTGTAGCTGGTCCAGAGAGTCGAGTAAAAAGTGTTAGGGTCTGAGTTATAGCAACAGTAATTTCCCTTTCCCTCCTTTCTCTTTGTAATGCTTTGGTTGCAATGCAGTGGGAAAAAGCCTTGCGTTGTTCCTGAGAACTGTTTCTAGATGTTTTATTGAGAAATACTGCAGTCTTCCTGTGGTCCCATTGTGACAGCAGGAGAGCATGATTGGACTGACACATTACTTCATCTCATCAGGGGAAAAAAAGGCCAGGCATTGTGACAAAATCTTGTAAGGAATCTGTAGATCATATTTTCTTAAGGTGCCTCCAGAGAGACAGTTATTCACACCATCTGTTGCCAAAAAAAAACGTATGAGATTTTGGCGCCATCCTCCCTGTATCCCATGATCTGCCACTTTCCATTGCTCTGCTTCCCATTTATTATTATTTTTGTCTTCTTCTTTTGATTTTAATGTGCAAAGAAATGCAGGGCATTTCCCTCACTCACACACACGTTTGGTGTAGATCCAGGCTTCATCCTTTCTTCCTCACCCACCTGCATTGTCTTCATTCATTCTCAGAGCTACTGTAATGTTGGCCTTTGCACCTCTGCAATTACCACCTTCCCCCGCCTACTACCGTTGATACCCCCGCCTACTACTGTTGATAAATAGGTGAGGTTTGAGGAGAAGAGCTGTTCTTCAATTTCATGCGGGTGAAGTGGAAGGTGGGCACAGGGGAGAATGGGAACAGGAATCCTTTCATTTCACAGATAATTATGAGGAAGCAAATGCAGATTTCTGCCTGCTGAGGTGCCCTGTGTAAAGTAGTAAGAGTTGTTTCTGCAGACTGCAAGAGGTGATGGCAGACAGAGCTGAAAGGGACAACTCTCTTCATAGATGCTGTCTCATATGGAAAGTAGTTGGCTTGGCACATCTGATTCAGTACATGGATCAGGCCCCGCTGTTGGAGAAGCAGGGCAAAGAAGAGGCAGAGAGTAAAGCTCTCCTCTTCCTTCCTAACTCCCCCATAGCAGAGGATGTTTGAGAGTGGGCACCAAGTGCCTCTGGCTTTGACACTCCACCATAACTACTCCCTGAAGTGAGGGTGTTGTCTAAGCTCAGAAGGGGGCCCTTGTATGCCATTTTGCAATAGACAACTCTTTACTTTCCAACTGGTAGCCACAGTTTGGCTCAAACGGTGTCAGGTTCCCCCCCCCCCAATATTTATGGGAGCAACTTCAGAAGTCTATACTGGTTTTCAGGAAGCAGCAACAGTGGCAGCACCTGCCCGGGTCAAAGACACAGCATGCCACTGTGCTCCTGCATGTTCCCTATGGCGTTCCTTTCAGTGTGTTTTGTGGGGATTCCTGGATGATTGTGCCGTTTAGGTATGAGATCCGCTGATAAATCGAGCACAGAGCTTGCTAGGGAGGCAGCTGCCTCAACACTTTCCACAGGACGTTATGGCAAAAGGGGGGGAGGGGAAGGATACTTTCCTAATACAGCAGCAGGACAGATTGTTAATGAGTGGCATATTTCATTGTTAATGAGTGGCATATTTCACAGTTGGGCTGTTGTATCATGAATCAATCGGGCAACATGATTAGTGACTACTCCAGGACAGTGGGAGAGAGACTTGTTTTGGAGGAAAGCACTGGCAGCATTTTATTTTTATTTTTTTGCTGCAATGGCATTTGGGGAGAAAAACGGCTGCACAACTTGACCTTACTGTGGAAGAGGAAGCTCTGAGGAGGTCCTTGGGGCTGGTGCCTAAAGAACTGAACCCCATATATTGAGGCAGGGCAGAAAAGGAACTAGCCTATCTTGGCTATCACAGCACCGGCACCTACCCAAGTGCCAGCAGCGCATGTTCGAACAGCAGTTTAATGGGCTGCCAACACGCCCGAGCCGGCATCATTAGCTAAAAGCCTGTCCTTCCTGGGAGTTTTGCCAAGGATCTGGATTGGGGAGAATGCCTAGGAAAGGGAGGCTTGGAGAAGTATGTTTGGATGTGTGACCCTCCAGAGGTAGGGACTAATGTCTCTGGATGGTCGGGGCCAGAATTTTGGCTTTTCTAGAGTACGTGGCTAACTCTGTAACCCAAGAAAACTAGGGAACAGTTCAGGATGTTAAAAAGATGTTAAATGGGCCTGCCAAGTGTTAAGACTAATCTGACCCATTTATCACTATGCTTCTCATTGCTTTCCTGGTAGTCTGAAAGATGAGCAGGGAGAGAGAGAGAGAGAGACCTTATATATGCTGTGGAACTGAGCAAGCAACAGCCTCTTGAGGCAGAACCCATCTCTTGCAGGATTTCCTTAGGGCCTACGAAAACTTTAGTCTGCCCTTATCCGGGAGAAGGTTTAGCGGTATCTTAGACCAAAGCCGCAGGACTACCATTTCCTACTCTCTGCCCCGTGTTCTTTTCATGCTGTTCCCCTTTTTGAGTAACCTCTACACCTCTTGCTCTCCCCAGAAGCAACATTTATATGCTGTGTGGAAAAGGTGTCTGGAACAAGTTTTTTGCGGGCATCGCTTGTATGAGAAGTGCTACCTGCTGACATTTCCTCTTCTACACTATGAACTTGTCCTCCATTTCATGTGGCCATCTCTGAGTATTTATCTCTGTGTCTGCACCTCTCTCTGTGTGTGTGTGTGTGTGTGTGTGTGTGTGTGTGTGTGTGTGTGTGTGTGTGTGTGTGTGTGAGAGGGGGGGGAGAGAGATTGACTGTTTGACTTCTCCCCCAGTTATGTAATATCCCCATAATATGAGGTGAATAAGGCAAAGGAGATGCTATCAGCATCCTTTGTTATCCTCCCTGCCCATCTGTTGTAATAAATGCAATGCCCCCAGCAGGCCACCATTTTCAGCAATAGCACAGAGTTGGAGAACAAAAAGTCTTGGGGTGTGTGAAAGATACGTAGGCCCTTGTTACCAACGACACGTCTGCATACAGAGCATTTAAGATGATTCCCAGCGCTGTGGTCTACAAGGTTAGAAAGACAAGATGGTTGGGGAGATAGGAGAGCTAGAATCTGTGGCTCCTGGGTCGCTCCTCCAGACAAGTGTGCGGCTAGTGTTGCTAAGGGAGTGCTTGGGTATGCCAACCACAAGGCTAATGTAGTGGCAGGTTGCTAGGATATTGATGGGGTGGATGGGAGGGGGGTGTTGAGAGATGACAGTTCGGAGGAGGGGGAGTGACAACGTGCAGGGCCGCTGCCAGGAAACATTGCCATGGCAACCAGAAACATACACAGCAGCAACTTCCCAACAGCTGTTTCCATGGCAAGCGCCACATTCCTTGCTCAGGTGGCAAAGACCAGCCGCTCTGTGATGTGTGGGCTGCTCATTTGACAGGGCAGCCTCAGCCCAGGGCTGAGATGGCAGTGCTTCTGGGAAGGAACCTGTCGCTGTTGTGTAGGGCCACCTGGGACATCAGAAATACTCCAGATGTTGTAATGATGGATGACCGTAGTTTTAGGGAAGCGTGAATGGTTGTGCTGGGGATGTGCCTTTTATCCCTGTGATCTCAGAGGAAGAAAGGAGGACGCTTTTGAACAGATATGGGTGAGAGCTAGGGGTGTTTAATCTTCTTTCCTTTCCTTGAGGATTCATTCCCTCAGATTACCATCTTCTACCCTGGAGCTACCATCTTCTCCTCTTTTTTTGAGCTCCAAGACAAGTAGAGTGGCCTCTACTTAACTACCTGAAATTCTGTCTCTAAAGATCAATCCCTTGTTGGAAACGCCTCCTGTCTACTTACTTGACTCCCTTGCTCTCTTGAGTTCTTTGCTGTCTATCCCTAAGCACTTCCAACTGAGCTACCTTTCCTGTTCCCTGCACGCTGTGTTTCTCCCAGCCATGACCCCTCAGCACCATGCAACACCTCCTTCATGGGTTTCCATAAGACTGAATCAGGTCACCTGCATGGAAGCCAATTAACACTGATTGTGGGCTGCCGGCTGCCTAGCAGGGTAGCTGTAGACTCCATGCTGAGGTTTGAAAGGCCATGTATCATCCAGGAGAATGAGACTGCTAGGGAACACAAATGTCCCCTGCGGTTTGACTTCAGCGCTAGCCTGCTTCACTCTCCATCACTATTCCATTAACTTTCTCCCCTGACCCCCTCCCCCAATACTCACCTATCTCACTGCATATCAGTAGCTGTCAGAAGCAGCCAAAATGCTCCCTAGGAGAGTATGGTAGGAAGCAGATGTCTGAGAATGTGCCATAATATATTAAGCACTGGAGACCCTGCCGTAATGGATTCTTGTAAACAAAAGGAGTTGGCAGCGGGAATTTTTCAAAGATAGATAATTTCAGGCTCTGCCACAGATTTACCTACATTGAGCAAACCACAATCAGAGGATGGGTATAAACAAGGTGCCCATTGCCAGAGGTGCTTGTTCCATTGACAGGGGACAGTGTAATGAAACAGTTCCCACATGAGTCAAAATTAAGCTGGGGGGAGGCCAACCGAACTATCTGTCATGCTCTGGAGGAGTTTTATGCCCTCTTGGCAGGGATGGGTTGAAGCATAAAGCCAGTGAAGGGTGTAAAATTACACAGGGAAGAAGGCCAAGGCAAATTCTCACAGGGCAGGTGAGGCAGGTGCAGCCACAGGAGTGGGAGGTGTGACTCATGGAACCAGAGAACTAGGAGTAGCTTGCAGAGTTAAGGGGAGCACAGCAGGAATAGACAACAGCAGATAGCTCAGTAGAGTTTGTGGGTCTTTGTTCAACTGAATCCTCAGTCTGATGGAGACAGTAGACCTGCTTCATGTCATTTAAGGCTGCAGGTGGGAGCTCCTACAATGGAAGGATTTTCCTTGTGAAAAACATTCCTTGCATAGGCCATACTGATTTCCCACATATAGGGATACTATTTTGTTTTTGCACTTGTCGGGAAGAAATTTGATCATGTGATTGCCCATCTGAAGTTTTAACTGGTACAAGCAATACACAAGAGAAAAGAGTTCAAGGTAATTAGAATATTGAGTTGGGTTTAGGAAGATTCCTGGTTTTCCACAGTGTTGTCGTGGCAAAAGGAGCAGAGCTTTTCTTTAGATCCCGGAAGGACTAGTGTTTGGGGTTTAAACTAAACAATCTATGTATCACATACAGTGGGGTCTTGACTTGAGAACTTAATCCGTATTGGAAGGCGGTTCTCAAGTCAAAACGTCTGTAAGCCAAGTCTCCATTGACCTACAGTGCATTGAAAACCGATTAATCCCATAACAGGCCGTTTTTGTTCCATTTTGGTTTTTTTCTGGTCTGTAAGTCAAATCTCAGTCTGCAAGTCAAACCTCAATTTTGCGGTCAGAGAAGTCTGTAACTCAAAAAGTCTGTAAGTCAAGCCGTCTGTAAGTCAAGGGTCCACTGCATTTAGAAGTGGTGCTCTTTCAAGTGATCCAAGCATCTGTTTGTCACAGTGTTTTTCCTCACTTCCCTATCCTGCGTTTAGTTGTACTTTGTTTTATGACTGGTAAGGTAAACATGAGCTTATTTTGCTATATTAGAATAACTGGATTGCTGAGACAGGCATCTCTGGATATGTAGTTCCTAGTCCCTTCCCAGAATCTACAAATATATCATTTTCTTTTCTTTTAGATTACCCATCATATTCTTTGTTGCCTGATTAAGACTTGAAACAAGCATTTGGGGGGGGAAATATCTTTTGAGTTCTAAAATAGTTTGCTTATGTGACATTTTGTATGAGGTGTGTATGTGCTGCACAGTGCTAGGTTCTATGGAGGAAGATGGTCACATGAAGACAGATGTGCCTTAGAGCCTCCATGGGCAAACCAGAGCATCAGCATTATTTTGCCTGACCATATAGGCACATAGCTGGCATAACCTAATTCAAAATGCATCATTTTAGATCTGCAGAGCTGGAAAGGACCATAGATCATTGAGTTGAGCCCATGTCAAGGAGTCACAGTGGGGAATTTAACTCTCAACCGATACGTACACCACAGACTTATCTTGAAGGTTGCAGAGTGAGGGTTGCTTTATCCTCTGTATCTTCTCTATATAAGGCTTCGTTGGTGAAAAGTAAAGAGGTCTCTTCATAGAGGTCCAGCAAAAGGTGAATTTATGGAGCAGATGCGGAGGGGGGGAAATGTAGCGAGGGACAGTTCCTAGTATGGGGAACAAATAGGCTGGGGAGATGCAGACAAGGGTGGGGGATCTTGTTTCTTTTCTTTTTTTAAAAAAGCCCTTGTTTCTATGGTGATGAGAGGCTGGTGCCCTCCAAAGTCAGCTTCAGTTCTAAAATAATCTAGCCTACTCCCCCTCCCCCCAAGCTTGTTTCCTGGTTTTAATTAGTAGCTGGTGTGTGAGTCATGGAGAACTGGAGGGAAAGGGTGTAATCAGGGGAGACAATGGGTCTAGGGGGCTCCCTTCTCACACACAGGCCATGTAAGGGAAGGGGTGCAGCATGTGATATCAAGTAGAAATCATGGGGGAATTCAGGAAGTGTGCAAGTGTGGTGTATGCATCTCTTCAGTGCATGGAGGTGTCATGTACATGTGGGTGAGAGGGAAAAACGTTGCTGTTGTCTTCAGCACACTTGAGAGCGAGGGTTATGGTTTACTGTAATGATAAGCATTTGTTAACGTGCACAGTTGAGAAAAATGAAGGTGTATATGTGGGAATGAGTGTGACAGACATAGGCAGCTAAATATCCAGTCTTGAACCTCTCTCTCTCTCTCTCTCTCTCTCTCTCTCTCACTGCCTTGCCACAGGGAATGCTTGTGCTGGGCGTGTGAGCCAGAGGGCAGCCGACCTTCGCCTGATTCCAGCCACAGCAAGAAGAAACCAAGGGGAAGGAAGAGGACTCCCTGTCCATCTTATTTATCCTTTATTTTCCCAATTTGATTTTTGACACTTTGGGTGCTCTCTGAGGAGGACAGGGCAACCCCCCGAGCTCATGTGTGCGTGCGCAGGCATGCACACACTCTTGGGCGCATGTGCATGCACTCTGGTGCATGCGCAAAGGGGTGGGGGAGCACACATGTGCCACTGCCGGCATGAGCACTCCCCCACCCCTTCGTGCATGCACAGGAGCACCTACTCATGCACCTGCCCACCCCTTTGCGGGGGTGCTCGGGCACATGCATGAAGGAGTGGGGGAGTGCTCACGCCGGCGCTGGCACACGTGTGTGTGCAAAGCAGCTGTGCGGAGGGGAGTGCATGTAGGGGGTGGGAGGTCTGTCTCCGCAGCCCAGTCCGGCTCAGGCTGCTGACCGGCACTGGGCCAAGGACCAGGGGTTGATGACCTCTGACTTAGGCAATTAAAAATGGCCTTGCTGGATCAGTGCATGGGTCTGTCTCAGCCAACATTTTGTGGTGGCTGGGTGAATGCATTTGGAGGTAAGGCATGAGGTAAAAAGTGTGAGGTAAAAGTACGAGGGTATCAGGTAGAAATTGTCACTTGATTCTCACATTTGCTAGATGTACGCCACCACTTTGCAAGTTGCCATCTGGTTTGTCATGAGTTCTGTTCAGCAGCAGAAACACATTTAGTAAGGACTCGAGAGAGGGCTTTTTCTGTGGCAGCTCCCCGATTATGGAACTCCCTTCCTTGGCTGTATGGCTGGCTCCTTCCCTCATCCCTTCATCCTTTCTAAACATTTAGGGAGGCTTTTGAGGAGTCAGCAGGCAATTGAGATGGAGAGTTCTTTCAAAATCTGATTTATTGTTTTTAAATAATGTTTTTAAATATTTGTACATTTTTGTTTTATATTTTAATTGTTTTGTTTTTAATTATTTGTGGATTTTGAATATTTTCCTATGCTGCCTTGGGCCTCCACCAGGGGGAGAAAGGCAGGAGAAAAATAAGCCAGCTCATCCACCAGCCCAACTTATGTGAACATGCCTGTTTTCTTTTAAAGAAACAATTCTGAAGCTATTATCTATTACCACAAAGAAAGCCCTATTTCTTTGTTTCTTTCTCTTCCTTTTTCTTTCATTAATTTTTTAACTATCCTGCTTTTCCTCCCATAGTCTCAAAACCTGCTGCCTCTCCACCTTAACTGCACAACAGCCCTGTGAGGTAGACGGATGGAATGTAATTTTGGCTTCAGGTCACCTGGTGGTTTTCATGGTTAGGGCTGCCCTAGACATTTTGATGCTTGAAGCAAAGCAAAAGGCAGCTTCCCAAACCTCATTTTGTGTACAGAAGCTGAAGGGACTATCAGATGGATTATGCTTCAGTGCTTGTGACAACACAGGATCTTCTGCAGCATCTTTAGGCTGCAAGATACCTTAGCCAGCACAGACCAAGTTGCATGGTACATGTGACTCTTTTCTCTAGCAGAGAGAAAGGCTGCTGGGCTCAGACAGGATGATTGAGGGGCTGCCCCTGCTTGCCCCTCACCATCACTTGAGGCGTCTGCCTGACTGCCTAATGGTAAGGTGCAACACACGATTTAGGCGCCAGAGGCTTTAGATTCATTTCCTCACACTCATGGTTACAAGGTTTAATTAAATAGATTTAAAAAAATTATATACTATCCAACTATCAAAGCCCTTGCAGCAATTTACAAATATGGAAGGGTGGGGTGG